CAGGGGGCAGGGGTCACACTGTGTCATTATATACGTACTAACATACACGGCCTCTTTGTGATACAGTAATCTTCGGAGTGCCTGTGCGTGGTAAAGAGCAGGGGGAGGTGGGGCCGAGCGCCGCTCTCAGGTGTCACCCAGTGGAATGCGGACCCTTTGCACCTTGACCCGAAACATGGCCCTTCAGAGTTGGGTGTCAAACCATCGTCCCTTAACCGCACTAGCAAGGTTTTTGGTTACTCTCGGATGCTGCCACGAGGCCAAAAGCTACAGAGGACTAGTCGCAAGAACCTGTGATGGTGTGTGGACAGGTGATTCTTACATTGTGGGGACTAAAATATATACACACACACTTACATCACGGGGACCTGTCTTCTTTGTTAAATCAAAACATGTCCCTGTTACATGAATTCTTGATACTGTCACCAACAGATAATAATGTTATTGTGCTTTTGTTGTATGCAGCTAAGCCTTCCCCTTTGACGGTAGCAACAAGGACAGCAGCATTTCCCTAGACACCTATTATACACAAAATCTCAGAACAAACAAAGTAAAGAGGGGTATGTGTTTATCTTTGTTGGTGAAATGGTGTCTTGAATGTAGGAAAATACAGTAGATAATGTATGTTATCAGAATCCTTTTATTGCCATGTGAATAACAGGAAGTCACAAACTACAAAATTGCTTTAGCACTCAGTGCAAACATTATGTACGTTATGTATAATAAACGTTATGTATGCTAAAGTAAATGTATGTTAAAATAGGTCATAGTTGGGCGGATCAGTAGTCTTTTGTAAGAATATGAAATCAAGTCATGAATATGAATGATTTCTTTTTTTTCACATAGTTTTTGCCTTTAGAGTTCAAGTTGTCAGAATGCCATGATTACAAAACCTAACAAGGAAACAATTATAAAGCAAAGGAAAAGATTGCATTAAAATAAAAAATAATACTAATAATAATATTAGTAAAATAATAACTGAACCAAAATAAATATATATACATAATATTAAAATGTAAAAAAAAAAAAAAAGAATAGAATAAAGAGGAAAAAAATGAAAAAGATTAAGATAAGATTAACTTTATAAAGAGTATTCATTGCATTAGTCATTGCATTACATTTGTCAGAGCTAAATCAACCCTGAAGGTTGTTTTGACATTGGCCTGATTCTTGGATAAACAGGACAGCAGGCAGACATAAGGGACGGTGTTTTGTCTTACATTCTTCTAGAGGCTTGATTATGTAAGAAAAGTCAGACAGACAATATAATACCGAGATTACACAAGGCTGTTGTTTTTAAGATTCATATTACTTAATGGTTTTACCGCTCTGTTGGGAAACGCTGCTGTCACAAAGATGAATGTGAGCCGTGACATCTGAGCATGTATATCAGGGCAGCAGTGACAGCGTATCCAATTGTTTTAATAAATATTGGTTTGACTTTGTTGAGGTCATGTTGGTTGTTGGAAGCCTGTGAAGGAGTATAGTCTCCATTGATCAACACCACATTTTTAAAGGAAAATAGTAATTGTTTGGAAACTGAGTAAAAATAAAGAGCAACTATAAATTGAACTTGAAGTCTTCTCTCTGCTGGTCTTCAAGAAAATGTTTTTATCTTTGCATGGGACGTACTTTGAGGCCAGAATTGCAATTTGTCAATCAACATTGCATTGATTCAGTTACAGAAGATTTCATTTCTTTCCTCTCCACAGACCTAAAAGGCTAATTTTTAAGACTTAAGGTGTGTATAGTATCGATCCAGGTGCTAGCAAAATCACATGTGCAATTTCAATCGTTTAGTCTGTGCATAATGAATAAGTTTGCTTCATTGATCTCACAATAAAGAAATGTACTTGTCACATTTGCCATAGATAGTACCACTGAAATTGTGCAAAAAAACAGGAAGTGTGCAAACATGTTAAAGGTTAAAAATATATTCTGTTTTGTGCAATAAAAAGTGGCTATAGCTGTGAGACTGCTGAAGAAAGTTACATAGTGCACCTTTAAGTAATGCCTGGCCCTTATACAAAGTGCATTTTTGTTCATATATGAGTGTGTTCACAGTTAAGTGTCAATTGAAGTATCTCGACTTTAAAAGGTTATAACTTAAAAACTAAAATTACTATCATAGATTGGAAAAAAGATTTCAAACACAGACATATCAAAGAGATAGTGTGGATAAAATCAAAAGGAAAGATTGTCAAATATATTGTTGGTGACATTTTAAACGACAAAATCAGCCTCTTTTTTGACCATTCTACTATGACGCCAGTTACATAGAAAATAAAATGTCCTCAGTCTGAAAAAGCGGCAGATGAAATCCCACAAGATTATTATGGTTAACACAACATCAGGAAATCACTTGATATGAAAAGGAATCGTTAAAAAATAAAAAATAATTAATTAATTAAATGACCCTTGAAAAATGTATAACGGACGTGATGGTTTCCGTCCTCTTTTCTCTAAAATTTAAACTTGAGAAAGAAAAAAATCTTGTCTGGTTTCACATTTAATTGGTTGACTAAATGAAAGTATCACTTTGTTTCTACTCTGTGTAAAAAAATAGAATCTCTGAATCAATTGTGGACATCTGAAAATACCTATCAAACTTCCGCAAAGCTCATTCCGTCAAATCATCACGTCCGTTAGATAAAATAAACAGGGCTGCTATAGGAAACTTGTCTAATGTATAAAACAGTTATGTTCTAGCAACTTCTAATGGACAGAGGAGGGGCTTGGAAACATGAAAAACATAAAATATCTTCTGATTATTAAAATCTAATTGTTGGCCTTTTGTCACACTTTTGTGCCCTTTAGTGTGAACAAGCCCATATGTAAGTCCCACTGCATCATGGTGAGGAAGCAGCAAGCGGCTTGAAGGCAGCTTTGTAATCCCTGTTTCAGACCAGAGCCTGTGTTTACCTGACCCTCCCTTCGTGTTATTTGGTGATTTTACACCTCTGCTGCCCTCCGCCCTGTTCCTGCTTCTCAGAGCCCCCAGTGTGTATTATTGGCAGGAAGCCGTGGCAGGGCAGGCCACTCAGCCGCCAGTGCAGGCTACTAAACATGTTTGGAGGAATGTGCGGGAACAGCCATGCCCATTTGTACACTCACTACATTCACCCTGTGCGCTCCAACCAGACTGGAGGAGCTGGACAAGGGGCATCTTTGTCCCCCATCTGCTGGCTGCTCCCTGGCCTGCTGCTGCCCCCCATCTTACCCCTCTCTCCATCCTGTGGAGTCTCTTCTGACTCCATTCATTCAATACAAGCCCTTTCCTCAGAATAGCACACCAGGCTCTGCTGGAAATAGTCCTAGGGATGTTGGCAGGGTCAAGCACTGGCTGCTCCTCACTTTGTAGCTCGCTTTGGTTCTCATCTCCTTTAAATTCATTCTTTATCAGAGGAAATAATTAGCTGCTTCTATGTACCACAAACTATAATAAAGTAATTATTGTAACTGAGGATCAAAATCACTGTGTACCTCATTCATATTGTGTCTTTTTAATTTTTCTTGCACTAGCCACATTGCTTACCATCAGATTGTGTAATTAAAATTTGTCATGACCAGGCCCAGGATAAAGTAGAAAATTTTAAGTAATGTGTAAACTTGAACCTAAATTCTTGCTCAAAATAGATTGCAGAATTGGCACAGGCACAGCCTATTATTTCCGCACAATAGATGCAGGACGGATTTGCAAATAAATATGGCATGAATTATGTACATTGATTCTTTATTGGCTAGACCAAAACTATCGTGGCATTTTCAGAAGTTTGATCTATTTTATGAAAAGACAATGGTAGAAAAATGTAAAAATTCCAGCATGTCGACATGATTTCAGGTTACAAATTCCCACCTGGTCTCCTCCACAGACTGATTTTCCGAACGTGAATAATGGCGTGGTAACTCTAGCTCAGCCCTCTAGCAGTTTGTGTCTCTAGTCAGACATTCTCCTTAGAAAGTACTGTTTTTCCTGGAGCCACTACTAATGACATTCCACCTCAATTTCCCGGGTGTTTTCTCAAAAGAAGCCCACTGTTTCACTTAATGGAAACTTGAATTTAGACATTGCCTTTTTCCTTTGGATTTTAATTAGCTAAGCATGTCTAGGTTTACATATGTAGGCTCCTATGTGCTATGGCACACTGGTGTTTCTATGAAGTCTGGCTGAATGCATCTCTTAGTGGATTACTATGTTCTTGTAAACCTAATGACTTGATAGGCTGCTTTGGAGGTGTAGTGCCCTTTCTAGTGTAAACTGTGGTTGTTCCAATGTTTAGGTTTTCTCCTCCCTGTCTGTCTGCGTTTGCCAGATAAACAGATTATTAAGTCATTTATCCACTGGCATTTGCCATGAGGTCAAGTGGTGAGGTCATTCTACATTCTGACTAAACATGTTTTTGTTACAGTATGCATAATTGTGACCATTTAGGAGCCACAAAAAAACATCTATTTCACTATTATGAATACTACCACTTCTTCTACTAAAAGTCATGGATCATCATAACATTCCAATTAGCCAAGGTTAAAATTGTGAGGGAGGGCGGCTGAAAATTCTTTCCTGGTAACTATGGTAACTGTCGAAAGTCAGACTTGTGGCATCAGTTTCATGCTTAATGCTCTCATTCATGGGCCAATCCACATGAGACACTGTCACAAAGTTCAACATCAACTGTGTCAAGTGGTGACATATGCATGATGTTGTCCAGTAGGAAGGACTTTTAGACATAGAATAATATCAATGATGTGGGAATCTAATCACTATCAAATAATGATCTTGGAAAATGTTGACATACTTTTAACATTTTCTTTTCAAAAAGGCGCTTTATTCACTTATTTGCACCTGCCCTCCAACTGAATTAGAACTCTTCAACATGAATGCAACCTATTCTATCAAGCCAAAGTAGGATGACATAGAAATGACAGAAAAATACATTTGTACTGTTTTTCTGTTCTGTCTTAATACATACATTAAAAGTTTTTTTTTTTCTTTCTTCCAGTTGGTCCAGAAGTCCCCAGCATCTCCATTGGTTTCTCCCCTCCGTCAAGCCCCAACCCCACCAAGAAGAGCAGCTCCATCAACTGGTCTTTCCCCGACAAGATCAAGTCCCCTCGCACTGTCAGGAAGATCTCCATGAAGATGAAGAAGCTCCCTGAACTGAGCCGAAAGCTCAGTGTAAAGGGGCCGAGCAGCAGCAGCAGCAGCAGCAATAACAACAGCAATGGAAATAGCCAATCAGAGCCAAGATCTAGCTCACCAAAAAATAATGGGATTGAGGTTGTCTCCCAAACTTCAGGTCCTCCACGGTTGTCCGCTCCTGGGGGTGGACAGGCCAGTCGAAATGTCATCTCCCGCTACCATCTAGATAGCAGTGTATCAACTCAAAATAGTTTTAGCAAGAAGAAAAGCAGCGGCACTTCCAAGTCGAGCAGTAAAGGCGGGTATCTAAGTGATGGAGATTCACCAGAGCTAGTGGCGAAATCTGGTAAGCATGGTTCATCAGAAAACAAAACCAGTAAAAGCAAGGAAACCGAGGGACGATTAAACAACATGGACTTGGATATAGATGCTTTCCGACATTACAGCTTCACCGAGCAACCCAAGTGCAGCCAATACATCTCTGGACTTATGAACTTGCATTTTTACGGCGCAGAGGATTTAAAACCGGCTAAAATCGATTCGCGAGACGTTTATTGCGCCATTCAAGTAGATTCGGTCAACAAAGCACGGACAGCCCTCCTCACATGTCGCACCACCTTTTTAGACATGGACCATACATTTAATATTGAACTAGAAAATGCCCAGCACTTAAAACTGGTAGTGTTCAGTTGGGAACCCACGCCAAAGCGGAATAAAGTCTGTTGCCACGGCACAGTGGTCCTTCCTACGCTTTTCAGGGTCACACGAACGCACCAACTGGCAGTCAAGCTGGAGCCACGGGGCTTGATCTACGTGAAGCTGAGTCTGATGGAGCAGTGGCAGAACTCGCTGGACGGTCCGGACGGGAGCAGGGAGCCGGTGGTGTTCGGGCTGGATGCGTGGCGTGTGGTGGAGCGAGAGAACACAGGACTCATGGTGCCGCTACTCATCAGCAAGTGCATCAATGAGATTGAGAAGAGAGGATGCCAGGTAATATGCCAGTATGCTGTAAATAATATTGTTATGCAGTAAAAATGGATATGAACCAATTACGACATCCTGAATGAGTGAATAATAATAATGCATTTAGCGCTTTTTGGGACACTAAAAGATGCTTCACATGTCAATATTCTTTCACTCCATACACAGTAATGATAAAATACTACTGTAGCCACAGCTGCCCTGAGGCACAGTGACAGAAGTGAGGCAACCAGTATGTGTCATCCATCTACCACCAGCCATTCATTCACACACACATCAGACTCATTATAGGCAAGATGGGTGAAGTGTCTTGCCTTAGAACAGTTTGGCACCTGGTGTTCCCGTAGGTCTCCCATCACAGTATTAACTATCCCATCACAGACCCTATCCTGAACAGCTTCAATGGTCTGATGGGGTCTGACTTTTGCATGCAACTTTAGCCACAGTTAGACCATGTGGCTCAATGGTTATTATGAGGAAGTGAATAAAGTGCACTAAAGGCTGCTCTGTGCGTCTCCATTCACTGGGAATGTCCTGAGACTGCGTGTGCCCTGCAGTCAGCTGTAACTCTGGATCAGTGGCAGGAGCAGAAAGGATAGAGGAGATTCAGCGGTCTTCGTGATGTCACTGAGGCTCAACTGTCCTGGGGCAAGTGGCTCTTTTATTTAGAAGTTAATAGACTGTCGTGCGGCTGCTCAGTAGTGTTCTCTGATCATGTGATCCAGTGTTGTCTAGGCGTCCACATTTCTTGTGTTCTTTGAAGCCAGACAGAGACAGAGGGGCAGCGGCTGCCTAATTGGAGCTGAAACAGTGGCAGTAAAAGTGTCTAGCCACAGTCCTGACTGATCACTCTGGGGGGCAACCCAGGGGCCTCTAGTGCCTGGAGCCAACGGGGAAATATTAGCCCCTCCAAAGCTCACATTTGGGCCTCCTGCTTCATAAAGCTCTAAGATTGTGTTGTAATCCACTGTGAGAATTACACAAATCCAGTGATGACAGTTTGTATTTTAAGTATTGTCAAGACACATTTTGATCTTATTTTTAGGCCTATCTTGTTGGTTTCGAGGAACTGTAGTTTACGCATCTTTTTAAGACATGGAGTGACTGCTATAACTCATTTTTTTTTACCGGTATGATCCCAAATCCAATCAGTCTCAGATGTAGGTTTTACTTGTCTCCATCACGCTGCAACCTTCCCTTCATATCTGTCAGTCTCTGTTTTTGCTCAATGGCTCACATGCTTTTGTTTCTTCTTATCTTTCTTGTGTTTGGTACTTTTACATACACATTTCTGTCTCCCCCTCACCTCTGCTTGGTTATGTTCTTTCATGACAAACTTGTAGAATCAGGATTATGCGAGGAATGACATCAGGTCCTGGAGGCAGTAAGCAGCCTTCAGCTCGTGTCATTAAAGTCAATGTACAGTGTATGTTACAAATAATGATTTACATCTTTGATGTAGTTTGTCCTGGGGGCGTCTCTAGGCTTTTGAATGGTGCCTGTGAGTGGGTGTTTTGTAAAGAAGCTGCATCACAAGCTTTTAAACCGATGCATCCTACTAACCTAGATACAGGCGCATAAAGATGTTCTTACAGCCAAACAAACAGAATATGGGACTGTGAAATGTTGCATTGAAGCTAGTTTTCCAAACAGCCTTGCTCTGATGAATCACTTATACAACCTGCATAAGAATATGTACATACAATACAAAAATGTATCTCTGCCAAAGAACAAGGGATAAACAATTTTTTTTTGCCGTTGCATTAATTATGTCGGATTTGGAGGATGAATTATGGTATTTTGGCATGTTAGATTTAATTCTTTGTGCACAGATAGATAACTTCTTTGGAAAAAATTATAATATTGACACAAACCAACAAAAACAGACATGCTAACCTTTGGGACCAGCTAATAGGAATTATAAATAAATTAAACTAAATCCAGAATCACCCTTAACAGTTGGACTCATTACACAAGTTTAATGTGCAGCATTGACGTACAATCAGAAAACAAAACATGCAACCAAACAAACCAAATCAGCAGCCAACAACATCTGAGAAAAACACCAATATTTGCACAATTTGTTACAGTGACCTTTTTATATAAAGAAGTGCATGTACCATTGGATCTTGATTTCCTTTGCTATCATTTCCAACCAAAGCCATATGCAGGAAGTAGCTGTCCTGGCTTCTCGTCTGGTCAGGTTTTTCTTTCTTTTCCTGTCATTTCTGCCTCTTTGATGTTTCTATAAACTGCTCTAAGCCAATCCCAGATGAAACGCTCAAACCCTGATCCCTCCGTGGTGCTGGCGTTACCAAGCCTCCACATTCCAATGCTATCGGCACTCGTGCGGTTTGCTTCTTATTGTCACCTCTCTCCACATATTGGCTTGGCCCTCTGCTGCCTGCGAGAGTTGCCCCGGCAGCCGTGGTCCATAAGCACGACCCCATTCTTTCTGCCAACAGCTGTTCCCCGCTTGCATTCTGAGTTCTTTTATTCTGAATGGACTTGTTGTTCATTGTGCCCAGTGACTTGTGTTTACTATTGCACAAAGCTAAATCCTGAGCTAATCTGTGCTGCCCTTTCTCTCTGTCGTGTGAGCCCCAGGAAACACTTGTGTCACTCTGAGGATATGAATACAGCACTGTTGCATTGTGTGCATCAGGCCAGAACACTATACAACAATTATTATACTGCATTATTTACAGTAATGTAAAAAATTGACCGTTTAAGAAAAAATAGAATAGCATATCGTTTTTTCTATAACTATCTATCTATTAGACAAACACATATTAAACATATTTGGACTTCTCTAACAAGTAAATGAATGGCACCCAATAATCAAGTACTGGGCTTCACAAATATCGCTGCACACAACATTAATTAAAGAAAATTGAAAAAAACAGAAAAGGCTGCAATAAGTAAAGCTAGCTAACTGTATTTGCACAGTTTATTCCAACAGGATCCATTCGTGAAAAAGTGTGTTCCCTCTGAGTCCCTCTTGCTTACTTACTGTAGTGTATATGTGCCTTTATGTTTGCACAATGCACTGAACTATGTGTGTACTGCATTCTCAACCTGCTACTAGGCAAGGCAAGTTTATTTATATAGCACAATTCATACACAAGGCAATTCAAAGTGCTGAACAAAACAAGAAAGCATTAAAATCATAAATTATCACAGAACATTAAAAAGAAAGATGAAAATATAAAATCCCTCAGTTGTATGCACAGTTAAACAGAACTGTCTTTAACCTGGTTTTAAACATTGTCAGAGAGGAGGCCTGTCTCACATCTTCAGGAAGACTGTTCCAGATTTTAGCAGCATGAATCTGAAAAGCAGCCTCCCCATGTTTAGTTCTGACTCTGGGCACTAACAGGAGTCCAGTCCCTGTGCTCCTCAGAGTCCGGGCTGGTTCATATGGGACTAACATGTCACTAATATATTTTGGTGCGAGGCCATGGAGAGACTTGTACACAAGCAGAGCTGTTTTAAAGTCTATTCTCTGAGCCACAGGAAGCCAGTGCAGGGACCTGAGAACTGGACTAATATGGTCGTACTTCCTGGTTCTAGTCAGGACTCGAGCTGCTGCATTTTGAATGTACTGCAGCTGTTTTACAGCCTGTTTGGACAGACCTGTGAGCAGGCCATTGCAGTAGTCTAACCTACTGGAGACAAATGCATGGATAAGAATCTCCAGGTCTGCTTTAGACGCTACGTTTTTGATCCTGGCAATGTTTTTTAGATGGTAAAAAGCTGCTGATGTTACTAATTTGATGTGGCTATTAAAAAAAAAACTACTACTAGTACTACTACTACTGCTACTACTACTACTACTGCTACTACTACTACTACTACTACTACTGCTACTACTACTACTACTGCTACTACTACTACTACTACTACTACTACTACTGCTGCTACTGCTACTGCTGCTACTACTACTGCTATTGCTACTGCTACTACTACTACTACTGCTACTACTGCTACTGCTGCTACTACTACTGCTACTGCTACTGCTACTACTACTACTACTACTGCTACTACTACTACTACTGCTACTACTACTACTACTGCTGCTGCTGCTACTACTACTACTACTACTACTATTACTACTATGGCTACTGATACTACTACCACTGCTACGCCTACTACTACTACTACTACTACTGCTACTACTACTACTACTACTGCTGCTACTACTACTACTACTGCTGCTACTACTACTGCTACTGCTACTACTACTACTACTACTACTGCTACTACTACTACTACTACTGCTGCTGCTACTACTACTACTACTACTACTACTACTACTATGGCTACTGATACTACTACCACTGCTACGCCTACTACTACTACTACTACTGCTGCTACTACTACTACTACTACTACTACTGCTACTACTACTACTACTAATGCTGCTACTACTACTACTACTGCTGCTGCTACTACTACTACTACTACTACTATGGCTACTGATACTACTACCACTGCTACGCCTACTACTACTACTACTACTGCTACTACTACTACTACTGCTGCTGCTACTACTACTGCTACTACTACTACTACTACTGCTGCTACTACTACTACTGCTGCTGCTACTACTACTACTACTACTACTACTATGGCTACTGATACTACTACCACTGCTACGCCTACTACTACTACGGTTACAGCTACTACGGCTACTGCTTCTACTACTATGGCTATAGATACTACTACTACTACTACTAAGGCTACTACAACTACTACTACTACAAAGGCTACTACTGCTACAGATACTACTACTACTACAACTGCCACTACGGCCACTACTACTACTACTACTACTACGGCTACTACACCTACTAATACTAAGACTACTTCTACTACTACTACTAGGGCAACCACTCCACTCTTCTATGATGCTAGATATATGACACAAGTTGAAATACCTTGTCAGACCCAAACAAATCTTAGGTGGTATTTAGTGTAAAAAGTTTGGGAGCTAAAACTGCTGCAGAATAAACTTTGGGGTCTGGTTGAAGGAACATTATGTGCGGTTTCCATTTTAAACTCTGTCTATCTTTACTTGAGGCTTGTTTATCCGTTCAGTCTTGTGAATGTGACACTTTTATCACAGCCCTGAGTGTACTCGGGAAAAACACAGATACTGTTTTACCTTGGTCACTTGGACTCTAAAATAAACAGCTTGGTGGGTGTTTCCAATTTAACTCTGCAAAGATACACACTGCAGTTATTCTGTAAACGCACTTATATCAACTTATCAACGTAGAACTTATATTCATAGACAAGAAAATTCAAGTTTTTATGACTGTCCAGTGTCACTCAAACATACTTTTCACACCTGTAAACCTCATTTGGACAGTGTTCATATGGATACAATACATAGATTCATGGATGCTTGTGTATTTGGGCAAATACAATTATTTTTTCCTGTTTTGCCTTCATGTCATGACATTCTCTTCCCCTTTATTAATCCATTTCTGAGTTAAGGGGGCGGCAATCCGAGCTGCCACCCAATGCTCAAAGCACCAGTCCTATTTGCCTTCATTAAATCAATAAAAAGTAAATTCTGCCCAGCTACATAGACATTTACATAATAGTACAAATTAAACACATTCTCAAGAGTTTGACTTTCGTCCTCCAATATTATGCTGCTATCTTGTTTTTTTTTTTTTTTTTTTTGCAGACCTCTGTTCTTTGAAAGTGCTTTGGCGTCATTCCAGTGGATTGTTTGAGTGCAGGAGCTGAACTTGATCAATAGAGCTGTAAAAATGTCTGCAGCTCTGTCAACTGTTTAACTCTTGAAACCCTGGTGTTTATTTGACCTACTTGTGTTTTGGCGTGTCTCTTATGTGTGTGTGTTGGGCGCAGGTGGTGGGCCTGTACCGGCTGTGTGGCTCTGCAGCTGTGAAGAAGGAGCTCCGGGAAGCCTTCGAGCGGGACAGCCATGGAGTGGAGCTTTGTGAGAACATCTATCCTGACATCAATGTTATCACAGGTACGAGGGCAACGCACAAATATACAGCTTTTACAGTTAGTATTCCTCAGTCCTCACATGTGTACGAGCAAGCAGAGATTACAAAAACAAGATTGCGATTACAATGTTCCCTCACGATGCTCACTCAAAGGTAAGTCTCAATTGATTCCTGCATGTTTGAGTGTCTATGCGCACCCAGCACCCCCATGTACGGTTTACACAGTTCTATATTAAAATCAAATTATTAAACCGCATATGCCTGCATTTGTTTTCTAATAACACATGGAATGATGAGTCGGATTTAAAAGTGACTTTGTGAGAACATCTATCCTGACATCAATGTTATCACAGGTACGAGGGCAACGCACAAATATACAGCTTTTACAGTTAGTATTCCTCAGTCCTCACATGTGTACGAGCAAGCAGAGATTACAAAAACAAGATTGCGATTACAATGTTCCCTCACGATGCTCACTCAAAGGTAAGTCTCAATTGATTCCTGCATGTTTGAGTGTCTATGCGCACCCAGCACCCCCATGTACGGTTTACACAGTTCTATATTAAAATCAAATTATTAAACCGCATATGCCTGCATTTGTTTTCTAATAACACATGGAATGATGAGTCGGATTTAAAAGTGACTTGGGGTCAGAAGTTCTCAAAAGCGGCAGCAAGTTATATCACAAAAGTTAATCAAAGGCTTTATTTTTGTAGATCCCACTGTATGTTTCAAAAGGGTATAAGTCGCCATGAGGCACAGGTCTTATGATCTGGGTGCTGCCTCGTATAGACCTTTCTTTATTTTACATTAGGAACAAGCACGAAGGATTAACTTTTATGGGTACAATATGTTGATTGATCGGATTTGTACAGTTTATAAAGAACAAGTTATTAATGCTTGAGTTTGTTCTGAGTAATGGATTACTTGAATGGAGACTTGACAACATTAGACATGTCCAGTTTGTGTCTTGTGCTGATGATAAATGGGTTCAAGGGAGATGTTTGTACCACGAGTAATTGGTGTACATCACTATCTCACTGACTATCATTTTAACCAGCGCTGGTTCTCCAGGTCTTGGGCAGTGGTTCTATTTCTGCAGGACCAATGGAAGTGGCTCACGTTGCTCTTATGCCTGTGCCCAGCCTTGAAATTAAGCCTGCTCACGGTGCGGACACATGGCTTTGCACTTGTGGTTCTTTTGAAAGACAGGTTGGATGTTTTGTCTTGTTCACATGTTTCAGCTGCAGAACTGCGAGCCATCTTTAGATCTGTCACCCGCCTTGGAAAACAACTAAACAAAAAAGCAAAACCAACAAAATGTTTTCTAATTAAGACAAAATTATTCTTTTGAATCATGGTTTTGTACTTGTTTTAGTTTAACAAAAATATTCAACCAGTCTATTTCTGATTAAAAAGTTACATACTGGGGCTTTAACTCTCGTAAACACTCCTCAAGAGATATTCAAGTGTGCAACCCACTCCTGCTAATCTATAGTATTGATCGGAAGGCAGTGAATGCATCGCTGTCTGCTCTAGTAAAACGTGCCTGGGCTCGTGTGTCCTCTGCAGATAGGTCAGCACATGTGCAGCAGTGTGGATCCTTGCTGTAAAACATACCTCTAGTCAACATACCATCAGACCAGTGCCTGGGGGAGCCCACACATGCAGCCCGTGCCATACATTCAGGCCATTCTTTCAGTCTGAGCCTTCCGTTCAGACATGTTTCCTCCAGTTTCACATTTGCAAAGGGATTATATTGTATCCAATTTCATGAATGCGACTTGATGCCAAAATTAAATTATATGTGTTTGAGAAAGCACTGACGTAAAGAAAGCTAATGGAAATGCTTGTCAGGTGCCGTTACCATGCCACCTCCCGATACACTAAATTCAAATGGAAGTGGTGAGTTACAGCTAACCTTATGGCCGTGTCACTGCATTGAGTAATCAGTCCAACCAAGCGACAAATAGAGGGGGCGGGGATCGTGTCATCTAAAAACGACTTGGTCATGATTTTTTTTTTCCCTCTCTCCGCTCTCCCACCGAAAAGAGGAAGACCGCAGAAACCCCTGGGCATTGTGCGGTGCCCATGTTGGTTTTAGGAAGAGGCCCTGCATAGACCTAGTCCGACCATGCCTGCTTTGATCGACGTGCATTTGCATGGCAGGGCTAAGAACACAGTTAACAGTTGAGCGACTGCGAAAAAAAGGTCCAGCACCGATGCGGATTGTTGGTTTTTGCTTTGCTGCCTAAATTTGCTCTGCCAAGCGGAGTTGCTGTTGCAGATGGGGCAGAGTTAGCAATTGAAGAGGAAAGGGGGAAGGGAGGAAGAGGTTTTTATGGTTTGAAGGGAATGTGTCCATCTGGGATAAAAACTATGAAATTGTTGGAAAATGTCTTGTTGGTGGGAAAGAGTTGGACCACTAATAATGGAACGCTTTTGTGTAGCTTTACGGAAAATGAAATGTTATCTTTTGAATGACTTCTCCACTGTAAGTTGGAAATGCAAGGGCCTTCTCCTCTCAGAGCTAATAAGTGAACAGCGGACTGATGAGCCGAGAGCATTGGAGCGTCACACGCCTAATTTAAAAGCGGATGTAGTGAAAGGGATTATGGTGAGGGCAAAGTTCAATCCAAAGCTTGCAAAACATGCTCGATGCGTGGCTCTTCATTGTTTCACATCGCAAACCCCTTTGTTTCAAGTCACAACAAACAGAAGGGAAAGAAAGTTCAATAATGCAAACCACCCACTGTGACAAATCAAGACTAACATCGTTATCTTGAGCTGCTTTAGAGACGTGATGCTTTTAGTCCCTTGGTCAAGTTAAGTTAAAGAACATTAAGCCTTTATTATATTTTACCTCTGTTTTGTTGGCGGCCTTTTAAAGCTGGGGCACCTAACTTTCACACCATAACAATAGACCTATTTCATAAATCTCATCAAACTCGTCCCTCCGTCCCACCCTGACCACCCTCCCTCACTCTCCCTCACTCTCCCTCAGCCCATGGGCTTGTCTCCAGGAGCTGCCTCTGCTGGACGAGAGTGTTCCACAGATTGGAAATAAACAAGTGTAAAAGAAACCCCAAGATAATCACATGTTTATCAATGTTTTGTGAGATCGGCAAAGTTTGTTCAACTATTTCAGTAATCGATTGATCATTAACTGCTGTATACACAGACTCTGAAATATGTAAGGGTTGTGAAATGTGATTTTAAGAATCAGTGTTGGAATTTATTCAAAAATAGTCATGTATTGTCTTGTTTTTGCAGAGGACTGTTCTCCAGTGGCATCCCTTCAGCTTTATCTTACTTATTTATACACACACTATCAAACCGATATTCTAAACAGATTTTTGATCAATCGAATTAATAATTTCTAGAATTCTTACTGACCTAACTGGAAAAAGACCTACCATTATTTGTTTGTTAATGTTATTGTACTTTCAGGAGTAGGGGTGTGGCGATATATCGATCAAAAAAAATTTTTTTGTACATTTAAAAAAAAAATTGGTATCAATACTTAATATATGGCTACATTACGCATCTCCATTCTATTTATCAGGAAATAAAGAGTATTTTTTCTTTTATTTATGCCATAAATTGGCATATTGTATATTTCTGACCAATATATCAATAATCGTCATACCGTGATAAAATCGTTATCGTAATATCGTTATCGTGATATTATCGTTATCGTGAGCTTTGTATCGTGTATCGTATCGTATCGTCAGGTACCCTTAGGTTCCCACCCCTATTCAGGAGCATAAAAACATACGTCATACCTGTGAGTCTTCTTACATTTTCACAAACCCATTTGGGATTATATTATTTTAGTCACTATTTGGACATTGGATACATTAGTTGTTTCAGAGTGATGATGATTTCTGGATTAAAGCTTGCACACTTTGTATTCTGAAATGTACTAATGTACAAGCATAAAAATATGTCCACTACTAAAACACTTCAATAAGGATTTTAGCATGAAAAAAAACCGCTGAGTCCTTCATGTTTTCTGCCTCCATTTAAGCCCCGCCCACACCTGTGATGTAAGCCACGAAACAGAAATATTGCTCTAAAGGAGAGAGTAGTGCATAATATGAAAACCTTTTAACTGCAGTTACCACAGTTTTCCACCACATCCCTCCAACTGTTTATTGATCCTGGATTGCTTTATTCCTTTATTAGCCTTTTCTTGCGTGCCTTGTCTTTTCCATTGGCCTGCTCCCGCTCGCCACAGCTCCTCCATTAAGACATGGAAAGTCATTAACAAGTGCCCCCTTTGTTACCGAAACAAACACAGATGGTATTTGGCTCACGCATGGGGGATTAGCTGAACCCTGCCCAGGGCACAGACGCACAGGCAGACCAGTGCTCCGGGTCCAGTGCTCCGGGTCCAGTGCTCCGGGTCCAGTGCTCCGGGTCCAGTGCTCCGGGTCTGTGTATTTCTGAACACACTTGAGGTTTTCGAGGTCTCTGATGTGCAGTTGGGCATTCATTCATTGATGGAGGGTTGTAAGAAGGAGAGCAGAAATATGGGCATTCTACATTCTACTGGAAAAAAAATATTTTGCCACTTGCTTGGAAATTGTGTGTAACCAAGTGAAGGACTTGACCATGCATGACAAGTTATATTTAAATATGTGCTAGTGTTATTAAACTTACATTTTAAACTGAATTTTGCCCACAATGATAATTTAACATGCAACAATCTTTTTAGATTTGGTATTTTTCAATAGTAGTCCTACTTTAATAGTCCTACTTGAAATTCTAGTTTGATTGTCTGATTTAAGAGGCTATGGAAAGATTTTTTTTTTTGTAGCAGCAAAAGCAAATAAATAATGCATTTATGCTAGAAATACAGACCAGAAATTACAGTAGAGTTCTGATTAATTTTGCTTTAAGTTTAGTTTTTCTGGAACAAAAAGTATCCATAAAAGAATATTCTATCAAAAGACTGAGATTCGGGAAAATATTATGCAGAGTTTCAAGAAACACATCATTGTACTCTGAAGTTGTCCAT